CGGTGCTGAGGCTTGGGCCCGCGATGGAGAGGAACGCGCGCGGTGGGTCTGGCTGCCGGGCGCGCTGGAGCTTAGGCGTAGGGCTGGCTGCTGTCGCGCGCGCGGGCGTGTGGGAGGAGCTGGTACGCACGGTCGCTAGGCGCGCTGGAGTGGCGCACAGAGAATGCGCCTGGTGGTCGCACTGCGGGTGCACGCGGCTGACGAGGCGCGCAAGGATGGCGGTGGTGCGGCGCTGAAGGGAGAAGAGGCGCTACGGCTGCAAACTGTGGCGTCGGGGCAACGGCGACGCGCGACGGGAATTGGGAGATTGGAGGTGGGCGGCGTGCTATGGTCAGTGGCGGCGGACAGACCAACAAGAAAAGAGGAAAAAGAAAGTGAAATCAGGACTAAACAGAGAAATTGGAAGAGTTATTGCTCAATTCCACGGACAGTGACAAGATTAGAGAGGACAGAGGCAAGAGAAGAGTGGAAAAATAGAGCCTTGGTTGAAGTTTTTTTTTTTTTTTTTTTTTTACTTTCGTTATCAGAGGGGTTGGAAGGTGTGGGCACACCTTGGAGGACCTGGTCTTCTGACCATCGCATCTTAGTGCTGCTTCAAAAGTATTTTTGTCAAGGTGTGGGCACGCCTTGAGACTGCCAGTCTCCCACTTGCTCAGGACACCCGGTGCACCCCTTCCAAGGCGTGGGCACGCATTGGAACTGCTAGTCTTCTGTCCATCACCACAAAAACAAACAAAACTGAAAAATCGCTGAGTAATGAAGAATGATCACAACTGATACTATAATCCTTAGGTTGCCTCCCAAGCAGCGTCTTTCTTTAACGTTTTTGGCTAAACACGGCCTTCAATTGTTTAGACCCACCACTTGGATCATCAAGGAATATAACCTCTACTTGCTCACTATTAAACCCTTCATAATAGGGTTTCAAACGATGACCATTGACCATGAACTTCTTCTCCATTTTCAGACTTTGGATCTCCACTGCACCATAATGAAAAATATTTGAGATAACAAATGAACCAATCCAGCGTGAACGCAACTTACCTGAAAAGAGCTTGAGTCTCGAGTGATAGAGTAGAACTTTCTGCCCAATGACAAATGACTTTCTTGAGACTTGTTGGTCATGAAAAATCTTACTCTTCTCTTTATAAATTGTGGCGTTCTCATAGGCTTCATTCCTTAGCTCCTCCAACTCTTGTAGTTGGAGCTCTCGATGTCCTCCGGCCTCCATAAGATCCATGTTACACCGCTTGAGCGTCCAAAATGCTCTGTGTTCAAATTTCACTGGGAGGTGGCAAGCCTTCCCAAAAACTAACCTGTATGGGGACATCCCAATCGGTGTTTTATATGCGATGCGATAGGCCCAGAGAGCATCTTCCAACTTCAAACTCCAGTCTTTCCTATCAGGCTGCACCATCTTCTCTAGAATTGACTTGACCTCCCTATTTAACACTTCGGCCTGACCATTCGTCTGCGGATGGTAGGAGGTGGATATTTTGTGGAGCACGCCATACTTCCGAAACAATGCCGTGATCGTCTTATTGCAGAAATGGGTGCCCCTGTCACTCACTATGGCTCTTGACATTCCAAAGCGGACAAAAATGTTAGACTTTATAAATTCTGCAACCACTCTCGAATCGTTAGTCCGGGTGGCTTTTGCCTCCACCCATTTGGAAACATAGTCAACAGCAAGTATAATGTACAAGAAACCAAAAGACGAGGGGAAGGGACCCATGAAATCTATACCTCAGACATCGAAAATTTCAACAAATAGCATGGGAGTTTGACTCTTTTGGTCTCTGCGAGAGATATTCCCTACCCTTTGACACTTGTCACACGATTTACAAAACAAGTATGCATCTTTAAACAGAGTAGGCCAATAAAAACCACTTTCTAACACTTTACGAGCTGTCCGCTTTGACCCAAAGTGCCCTCCACATGCAAATGAATAACAAAAAGTCAAAATAGACTGGAACTCACTTGCACTTACACATCTTCTTATCATCTGGTCCGAGCATTGCCTCCACAGGTACGGTTCATCCCAAATATAGTGCTTGGCATCACTTTTTAGCTTATCTCTTTTAGCCTTTGGCCAACCTGTAGGTAATTGATTCGTTACCAAAAAATTGACAATATCAGCGTACCAAGGTATTGACGAATCAATGGCTAATAATTGTTCCTCAGAAAATGATTCTCTTAACGGTAGTCCTCTTGATTTGTGAGCAACCGACTCAAATGATCAACCACCAAATTCTCGGCTCCGCTCTTATCCTTGATCTCTAGATCGAACTCCTGCAGGAGCAAGATCCACCTGATTAGCCTTGATTTTGCATTTTTCTTCGTCAACAAGTACCTCAAGGCTGCATGATCAGAAAAAACAATCACTTTTGCACCCAATAAATATGACCTAAATTTTTCTAGTGCAAAAACAACAGCGAGTAATTCTTTCTCCGTCGTGGAGTAGTTGAGTTGGGCCCCATTCAATACCCTCGAGGTATAGTAGATCGCGTGTGCCGCATTTCCTATCCTTTGCCCCAATACGGCCCCTACGGCATAATCACTAGCGTCACACAAAATTTCAACCAATTTTGTGGTTGAATGATGGGCAGCGACGTCAACGAGTCCTTTAATTTATCAAAAGTTACCTTGCATTCGCTAGTGAAGTCAAAGGGTACGTCCTTCTGCAGTAACTTCAACAGGGGTGCTCCTATCTTTGAAAAGTCTTTGATAAACCTCCTGTAAAATCCTGCATGTCCCAAAAAAGAACGTACTTTTCGTACACATATGGGGTAAGATAGAGCAGAAATAAGATTTATTTTAACTTTGTCCACCTATATTCCCTTAGCCGACATAACGTGCCGTAAGACAATGCCATGATCTACCATAAAGTGACACTTCTCCCAGTTAAGAACCAAGTTCGTCTCTATGCACCTTTTCAGAATTAAACCCAGATTCTCAAGACATTCATCAAAACTATCCCCGTACACACTAAAATCATCCATGAACACCTCAATTATTTTTTCCACTTATTCTAAGAAAATATTTACCATGCACCTTTGAAAAGTTGTTGAAACATTGCAAAGACCGAAAGGTATCCTACGATAAGCAAACGTACCAAATGGGAATGTGAACGTGGTCTTCTCTTGGTCCTCTGGTCCTATCGCGATATGGAAGTACCCTGAAAAATCATCTAAGAAACAATAGTAAACACAACCCGCCAATCTCTCAATCATTTGGTCAATAAAGGGGAGAGAAAAATTGTCCTTTTTTGTTACAGAGTTTAGTCTCCGGTAGTCAATGCATTGACGCCAACCAGTAGCTTTCCTAACTGGGACCATATCACCCTCTTGGTTCTCCTCTACAGTAACTCCCGCTTTCTTTGGGACCACCTGAACCGGGTTCACCCAAGGCCTGTCTGAAATAGCGAAGATGATCCCTACCTCCAGGAGTTTGAGTATCTCCTTCTTCACAACCTCCATCATTAAGGGATTCAATCTTTGCTGTGCTTGCCTCACCGGCTTTGCATCAGCCTCGAGTCTTATCCGATGCATGCACAAGGACGGGCTTATCCCTTTGATATCGGCTATGCTCCACCCGATTGCCTCCTTGTGATTTCTAAGGAGTCGCACCAATCTTTCCTCCTGACTTGGAAACAGATGAGCAGAGATAATCACAGGAAGTGTCTCTCTGTCTCCCAAGAATACATACTTTAAATGTTTCAGGAGGGGTTTGAGTTCCAAATCCGGTGCCTGCACAACTGACGGCAATAGTTTTGCATGAGTTTCTAGCACAAAAAGAGAAGTAAGCTCATACATTGAAGAAACCGTGGGTAGTGAGTGCAAGACTTCAACTGCATGGTGCAACTCATCCCTCATGTCCACATCAAGGGATGCACCCAACTCAAGAGGCTTAATTAGGGCCACTTGTAGTGCGTCTTCACCACCTAACTCGAAAGTTTCCTGTACAAGAGGCTCAATAACACTCAAAACAAAGACTGAGTTAGATTCTTTTGGATATTTCATCGTCTAAAAAATATTAAAATTCACAGTTTCACCATCAAATTTCATTGATAAAGTGCCCTCATTCACATCTATTTTGGTCCTGGCAGTGCTAAAAAACGGTCTACTTAACAAGATAGGCGATGGATTTAACGACCTTTCATCTCCCATGTCCAAGATATAAAAATCTGTAGGAAAAATTAATTCATTCATCTGAACCAAGACATCCTCAACTATTCCCTCAGGATAGGCATTAGTGTAGTTGGTTAGTTGGATTATGATGGTTGTTTCTTTAAGGGGTCCTAGATTTAGAGACGTATAAATGGTTTTTGGCATCACATTGATTGACGCCCCTAAATCCAACATGGCCTTCCTGATCAGCGTATTCCCAATCTTACAAGGGATCGTAAAGATACTTGGATCCCCACATTTGGGCGGAAGCTTCCTTTGGAGTATGGCTGATACGTTCTCTCCCACCGCTACTCTTTCATCTCCTCTCAACTTTCTCTTATGAGTGCACAAGTTCTTGAGAAATTTTGCGTATTTCGGCACTTGCTTGATTGCTTCCAACAAAGGAATGTTGATCTCCACTTTTCTGAACACCTCCAGGATCTCTTTCTCCTTCTCCACCTTCTTTGTCTTCTCGAATCTACATGGAAAAGGAGGTAAGTTAGATTTAATGGGTACAGAGGGAGTGAGAGTTACCTCAGGATTTTCACGGATGTGTCATTCCTCTTCCATCTCCTTCTCGATTTCATCTTCACTCTTGTTATTCAAGTTCGTGGCTTTGGGTCCTTCCACTTCTCTACCACTCCTCAGTGTCATGGCACTTACATTCCTGGGGTTTGCTTCAGGCTGCGAAGGCAATTTCCCATAGACATGGGACTCCAAGCGATTAATGGCAGTTGCCATTTGACTCATTTGAATCTCCGTGTCTTTCATGCTCGCTCTGGTGTCCTATTGAAACTGAGTAGAGCTTGCGACCAAGGACCTAGTCTCTTACTAGAGTTGAGCAGTGGTCGTGACTAAGGTCCTAGTCTCTTGCTGGAGCTGAGTGGTGGTTGTTGCCAAACTCTTGACAATTTCCTCCAAAGAATTTCCTGAGCTAGAGGACGAGGGTTGAGCCTTTGGTTGCCACGGTTGTTGGAATCCTGGTGGACAATTAAAAAATGAATTATGTGGCTTGTTACCATAACTAAAATTGGGGTGGTCTCGCCAACCTGGATTGTATGTGCTGGAGTATGGGTCGTACGGTCTTCGAGGCACCGGCACGCCTCCAGCCATGTTCACTTGTTCAGCCCCATCCTCTTGCAACAAAGGGCACGAGTCAGTGGGGTGGCCCACATTTATGCAAATTCCACAAGCCTTTGCTTGATGCATGTTTCCCACAGCTAATTGTCGAACGAAAGATGTCAGCTCCGATATCTGCTGCTGAATGGACGACGTCTCTACTTCATTGACCCTACGGGTAGGGTTACTCTCACGGAAGCCAAACTGTTGAGAATTCTTTGCCATCGACTCAATGAACAGCCATGCTTCTCTCGGGATTTTATTTGCCAGTGCTTCCCCGCTCGCAGCATCTATGATACTCCTGTCTGACGGTTGGAGTCCCTCGTAGAAGTATTGGATCAATAATTGTTCACTAATTTGATACTGTGGGCATCTAGTGCATAACTTATTGAACCTTTCCCAGTAATCATATAGAGATTCTCCAGGATACTGCTTAATACTGCATATCTCTTTTCTTAGACTTGCACCCCGGGATACAGGAAAGAATTTTTTAAAAAATTTCTTCTTAACCTGGGCCCATGTGGTGATAGTACCTGCAGGTAGGTAGTATAACCAATCCTTTGCTGCGTCCTTAAGGGAGAAAGGAAATGCCCTGAGTTTAATCTGCTCCTCTGTAATGCCTGGAGGCTTCATACTGGAGCATACCACATCGAACTCTTGGATGTGTTTATGGGGCTCCTCACCTGAGAGGCCATGGAACGTGGGTAAAAGGTGAATTAATCCTGACTTCAGCTCGAATGAGGTGTTTTCAGCCAATGTTGGAAATATGATGCATAAGGGTTACTGGAGCAATTCTGGAGCGGCCAACCCCCTTAGTGTCCTTGCATTCGCCATAAGGGTGTCCTTTTGACCTTGATCACTTAAACTATCACCACTTGAATCTGATGATTCGATCTCTGAATCTAATTCCTGAGAAGCTATGCTAGACTGCTCCTCTCTGAGTTGCCTAGTCTCTTTTCTAGTTCGGCGCGCAGTTTTCTCTACCTCCGGATAAAAAATCAAGTCACCTGTGCGAGAAGAACGAAGCATAAACTAGAAAAATGCCAGACAAATCCAAATAAAATAACTTAGAAAGAAACGAAATTAATCAAAACACTGCTCCCTGACAACGGCGCAAAAAATTGACAGGTATCGAGCTTGTACAATAATAATTACCTACTCAAGAGAAATACAGATTTTGTATATAGTAGTGAGTAGGATCGAATCCACAGGGACTGGAGAGAAATTTATTTCTTTCCAAGTCAATAGAATAGAATAGGGGGATAATTAATGAGATGAAAATAAAAATGAAATAAATAAAATTCAAGAGCTAACTCGACAAGTTCTATTTACTAAAAATAGCAATTAATAAAATTCTACCCAAAGGATCAACTGCTCAGGCACGGTCCAATTAAATGATCACCGATGCAAAGATATTTCATCCATTCATTACTAGGTTGGTTATAGTTATCAACAAGTTCTGACAACCAGTTCTTCCTTACCTTTTTGACAGTCAAGGTACGACCATTGACTGCTTCTCTAACCAGATAACAACCCTAGGTACAATTATAGGAATTTAATTACCCAATTGCATTAAAACTAGAAGAATCCAACCCTAACTAATAAACACGCTAAGAGGGTTTATTTTACCTAGATCTTACGTTTCCCCAACATAAAGCCAATTATGGTGGTTGTCACTAGGTATCAACTAAACGAACAATTACGGATTCAATTTAATTAATGTGACAGTAGCTATTAAATTAAATCAAATATCCCGTCGTTGATATTCAATTAATAAAATATCCATGAACAATTAATTCAGAAAACGCACGAATAGCAACAAATTGGAAGAAATAATGAAGATTCGATTAGATCTCACAGATATTATGGACCGCGCCTTCGCGTCAACCTTTGAGTAGAGGAGAAAATTAGCCGCTCCTCATCCTGTCAAGCTCGCATGAGTTGATTGATTTCATTCAATTAATTGCCGAAGAATTGAGGAAGGTGAATTAATTGAAGAAATAACCGAGAAGGCCCTGACTCCACCTTCGTTTTGGAGCCGTAATTACAAAGCAAAAGGCTAACCGAAATTGTCCAGAGCAAGCGTAAAAGTCAAAAAGGAAAATAGCCGTCTGGCCTATTCTAATTGCTACCGAAGAGAAGAAAGAAAAAAGGGAAAAATCGTCTGACAGATCTAGGAAAAGAAAACTAAAGCTAAAAGTATTGATTGATCGTGAATCTGGCTTTTCTATTCTTTTATAGCCGCCGCAGGAGAAAAACATTAGGAACAAGGCTTTTTGTCCAAGGGCTCTGATCTTACGCATCTGGTCCACGTAGACCGGGTATCTTAATTGGGTCTCCTGCTATTGATCCCGCGGATCTGGCTTTTCGGCAACATCTACCTTTTCTGGCGTGGGCACGCGCTGAGATGAAGGGTCTTCTGGAAATTTGCCTCAAGAGATTACTTTTAACGCCAATCATCTATAATTCATACAAATATGAAATATGAGCAAAACCTCAATACTTAGCACAGTAAGTAACCAAAATTAGGACAAAATAACAGTGCAAAATGTGCCAAATAACTGCTCTATCAAACTCTCCTGGATGAAAAGAATGCTCAGTCACAAAGTTGTTCCAGTTCTGGTGAAAGATCTTTGCTTCATGCCGATGGCATAACTTTTGTATCCATTGGTGAGAATAATTGTTGGTGTTCTGTTCTCATTAAGCTGAATATCAGCATACTGTGGAAGTTCCTGTTGACAACAGGTATGCATTCTTAGCTGGCATACTGGACAATGAAGCTGAGAATATATTCTATAGAAAATAATCATTTACCAAGCTGTATTTAGATTGAGGAGTGTAAAACTGGTAGAACGAAACAAATGATGACCAATCATGCTTGAAAAATTGATTTATGCATGACATGATAGTAGTTAAATTGACCTGTGGAGCTGTATCATCTGTACATATTAAAAGAAGGTGTAAGTGTAAGCGTTATTAGTAAAGTAAATAAACAAAGTATAGTTAAATAGGAAGGTTAACCTTCAACATTGAGATTAATGCTTGGTAACATAGGCAAAGGAAGCGTCCATTGCATGAGAATATGTGACTGTGAAGTACAAAAAGCCATAGTATCATAGGATAAATTGCCTTTGATTCACAGGAAAAGCATATTAGCTTCATCAATCAGATTCGGAGCACAATAAGTTTCCCAGCCTTCCTGAAAACACCTGTCTTTGATTTTTATTTCCCAGCAGTGAAGACCATGATATAATTTAATGGTCATGCCATCTTGAAATCCCATTGAATTAAATACAGTTGCTGAAATCTCCTATAAATGACAAATACAAATAAGGTTGCTTATTATGCCAAGAAGAAGGAAAGAAAGAGATTATGTTGTCATTGACTAACTTGTTTGGCTTTACTTGAACAAAAAAGAACATAACACCATGGTTGTCCTATTGGTACGTCCTGAGAACCAAGGGCAATTGTATCTAGCAAAAAAGTTAAAGCATAAGATGAAGGAAATGTTTAACAAAGAAACAATATACATAAGTATAAAAGAGGAAATGAAAGTATACCTGCATCTGTAAAAGCTTCAGGAGAAAGAGTGGTTATAGTATGCAACCACTGGGCAATTGAATCGAAAGAATAAAAAGATGGTTCACCTGTATGTTTTATTAGTTGTGGATAGCTTTCCATGAATTTTTTTTTTGATATAATAGATGGTTTGTTCTTCAGAAGTTTTAACCATCGTTGCTGCATGAATTTTTGTTTTATCAAACGTACATAGGAAGAATCTAGTCTTATTTCCTTAAGGAACTGCCAACCACTTCTTGAAGGGATTTTTTGGTTTAGTCATTACTAATTGGAAAGGCAGAAGAGGAAGGAACTATAAAATAACAAAACTTTAGTATTAGAATAAGAGCTATGGGACTAATAGGAAAAACTGGCATTGCAAAGGAAACCTGTTCATATGTTTATATAGCCTAAAACTATGAAGAAGCTGTCTGTATTTAATCGCAGAACATTAAAATGGTAGTAAAAATGGTAGGTGAATGGAAGTAATAACCAAAAAAGCTGCATAAGAATAATAAATTTCTACTGCCAAATTGATGCTAACTGCGTTCAATTCTACAGTTGAAGACCTATTGCTCTACTGGCAATTACCCAATGCTAGTTAGTATATAAAGTCAATGGCAGAGATTTATATAAAACAGCTAGAAATTTCTAAAAATAGTGCATCACTAATTACGCGAAGGGGACAAGCATCCAAATGATCTTCCTGTATAGGAAAGCATCAGAGAAGTACGTGATGAACTTAATGAGCCACTGCAATACTATGCAGAAAATGGAGTAAAAAAAATAGCTAGCTTTACTCTGACACACATTAACTTAAGAAAATAAATTCCAACAGGTCTAAATAGGAGACTATTTTCTCAGCAAACTCAGCAGAGCATACTTAATTATAAAAATCACTGTTGCATCATAAGCATAATAAGTTAAGGATTTCGAGAATAGAGTTAAAGTTGCAATACAATTTGCCAAAAGCAACTGATAAGTATTCAGTTTGCTTAATCAATTTAATGCCAAGTAAAGTGAGCTCAGAACAGAGGCAACCATTAAAGCAAAGAAGAGGCTTGCTTAACAACATTAGTTAATTCTGAACTATTTGTTTCGCTTCTTCTTTGCAGCAGATTCTTCAGATCCATTAAATGTTTCAAGAAGACAGCGGCGTGTTTTCGATGATGATTCTGTTTTTTCTGCAAAAGAAAGTTATGAACGAAGTAAAACGATCAGGTTAAAACGTAAATAGCAGTGTCTTGATTTTCATTGATTTCATAAAGGAAGTCAAATAACTATGTTAAGGAATCTGAAACTATTATCTTAGGAAAATCAGACTGCATAACAAACAGAAGGAAGTATATACCTGGAGATAAATGTGCAGAGGCTGTGCTTTCAGGGGTATTGTTCTGAACTTTTGAGCCGACAGGTGATTGGCATCCGAATGAGGCATTTTCAGCATTTTCTTCAAAATAGTATGCAACAGTGTAACGCTGTTATGATCCATCATTTTTTGTATTCCCTGGTTTGAGCTGCACTATGAACATCTTACCCTTTAATTCTTCATGGAGTTTGTTTAATGGTAGTTCCTCATTCTGTAAATCAATGCTGGGTTTAGAAAACTTCATCATATAGGCATCAGTCATAGAATCTTTTGAGTAAGTAAAGAGAATGCGTATTCAAACCCTATTGAAGTAATCCATTGCTTGTAAAGCAGTAAACCCAAGCAAAGCCTCAGCTTGTTCACCAAAAATGGATGCAGTTATTATGTCAGTGTGATCAGTAAGGTCAATATCAAAGCGACATCTGCAATTAATGTAAATAACAAAGGAAATGAATATATGTGTAGAATGTTAAGTAAATTAAGAAAGGTTTATTAACTACAATAAGTATCTTTCCTTGGCTGAGCAGATTGCTTTTCATTGCAATGGTTGCAGGTGTAAGTGCACCCATAGTCAGCATCAGTTAGCCGTCGGCATTTCACACATGCCATATAGTAATATTTTTGTAAGATGTGCTCAAAAGAAAACATACACTTGACCCAGGAAACCTTTTAGGAAAAAAAACAATGTTAATTGATGTATAACAAA